GGATTCCTGCCCCATCCCCAGGGGCTAGGGCGGGGCCCCAAAGGGAACATTTACCAATATTTTCAAATTCTTATCCTTTGATGACATGACAAGTATTGTATTTCACTTAGTTTACATGCTGATTTCCACATCACATCTAAACAATAAAATAAAGCTACCAGTACCTATGATATAACTCAGGTGACCGCTAAGGCCCTTGGGCCTCATGTTTTATATGTCTGAGAACATTAAATTTTCTGCATGTCCCATTGCACAGAGTAGAGAGCAGGTGGCTACATGTAGGATTCTGTATATGAATGATACAATGAAGCAAAATATAGCAGGAAATTATGTTATCCAAAAAAGGGAAGAATTGAATTATAAAATAATCTGTATTATATAATGACTATAAGACTTGTGGGCCTCCTGTATTTCACTGATGTTAGACTGCAGGGAACTTTGATTTTGGGGAACTACATATAAGTCTGCAAACAGTTAAAATGAATTCTCATAAAATTTACCTGCTGTACAATATTGGAAATATTGAAATTTCTAATTTTTAAACTTTATATTCTTAATATTTGAAGTGCAATATTTAATGTTGTACATTTTAATGATCATCTTTGTTATTATTTGAAACACAGCAGTCTGTCACATTTTCGTTGTAGATTGATGATGAACAGTACAAAAAGATTTTGGAGTTGATCGAATCAGGAAAGAAGGAAGGAGCAACCTGTGAGTACGGCGGTGCGAAGGACAAAGAAGAGGGATATTACATCAAGCCGACAGTGTTCTCCGGTGTACAGGATCACATGAGAATTGCCAAGGAGGAGGTAACTCTTGGAAACTTGAGGGAACAGAACAGTGTCATTCTCCATCAACATTAGATACTTACAATAGAGTCTATCATATGTAGGTCTACGGGGGAAATAGAAATTCTACCCGAGCATGTTAAACTGAGGTCAGAATCAAGGATATTTTTCTCCCATATTCTTTTGTGTAAAACAAGACATTTGTAGGGAAAGTACAGCACTATACACAATCTGTATTGCAGAATTTCTCAACAACATACCCATATATTAAGACCATTGGAAATGGAGAATAGGGTATACTGATAAAACAGCAATTAGTATTTTTGTGGTGGCAGGAAAAGATGTTTTATGACAAACCCCAGGGAGCCGAAGATGTCAGTTTGTTAAAAATAAAATCAGTTTGTTAAAAATAAAATCTGTTATAGAGTTAATGTTTATGAGACAATTTTTGCCAGGGAAACAACAATTATTTTGATTTAAGCCAGAATTTACAAAATGGTGGTAGTCACCATGTTGTTATGTATTGACTCATTTAGATTGACTTTAATATGAAGCAATAATGTCATTAAAAATTATAATTAAAACGTCAGTTTTTAATAGTTTCCAAGATAAATCTTATAATAAATTCATATGATAAATTCTGACCAGTGAATATCATTTAAGTTGTTTTCCAGCATTCTTTTTTTTCACAGTGCTGATGATACACATTTTAATGACATTTTTTCTAGATATTTGGACCCGTCCAGCAGATTCTGAAATTTAAGGATATGGATGAAGTGCTGGAGCGAGCCAACAGTACCCACTATGGTCTAGGTGCTGCCATCTTCACCACGGACATCAATAAGGCAATGACCTTTGTTCAAGGGGTCAAGGCTGGCACTGTCTGGTAGGTCATCTCCATGGTTGATAAAAACTGATAAATCAGTATATATATGATAGAAACATGAGGAGCAGTATTAAACATATTTACACAAGAAATTGAATAAATGACATTTATTGGACAACATCATGTAAAACAATCCCTGCTCCTAGATTTTAACCCCTGTAGTTCTTATTTTTGTTTGTTGCTTGATAAATGCTGAGATTATTGACATTGTGTGAGGTCTGGTTTTCAAGTGAAAAGAATTTTTTTTCAAAACATTTTCGGCTCAAAATTATGGTTTACAAAAACCATGTAACTTGTTTTTCAGGGTAAACTGTTACAATGTTGTGTCACCTCAGGCTCCTTTCGGTGGATTCAAGATGTCGGGACTTGGCAGGGAGCTGTAAGTCAATTCAGAAAAAAGCTTTTTCTAAATTATTTTAAATCCAGTCAAAAGGTTGATGAGTTGCTTACTAGTTGAAATTAACCATATATCAAGTTCGTTTGTGAAAACATGATTAATCAAATGTTTTTATGTCTTGAAAGATTTCCGATACATTTATCACGAAGAGCTAAATGAAGTGGTTCTTTTCCAGTCGCTATTTTTACATGAGCACTATTTGATCACCACAGTGTATGCATGTGATATTTGACATAAAAATAGGAGGATAATCTGTGGGGAAAAAAATATTTAATAGATTTTTACTCACAAGGGTATATTTATCTTTTCAGGGGTGAATATGGCCTGCAGAACTATTTGGAAGTAAAAAATGTAAGTACACCACTAAATGTTGAATACAATTTTACATGCTGAAAAAAATAATTGTCACTTCAGAAATAAATCCCAGTTAAATTCTAAACAATTCTGTGAACTTCATTGTAATTCAATTAAATTTCAGGTTTTTTTTGTGAATTTCAGAATTTTTGACATTTTTGAAACTTGAATAAAGCAAGAGTTATCAGTAAATTTCAACTTGTAAAACTTATTACAAAATTTAAAAAAATAATTGAACCAATATTTTTTAAATGCCTGCTGAGGTTTTCTGTATCTCTTAGATTAGGTTGCAACTTTTTCTTAAGTTATAAGTGATGAAATGATTTTGAATCATGATTTATTCTCCATTATTTCATCTTAAAGAGACATTTTTTCTTGCAGGTTGTCATGAAGGTCCCAGAAAAGAATTCTTAAAACAGCCAGAACTACAATGTTTCCTCCGTCAATATGGAAGGAATGCTGAACATGAACAACATTTTCTGCTGACAGAACAAGTGCATGGCATTACTATTTTGATATATATACAGAACGTATTTAGAATGTCATTGTCAATGTAACAGTTTGTAGCAACTGGCTAAAAATTTAACAAAGAGAGCTAAAATGAAATTTTTAGAAAGTATGTGTCTTGCTGAATTGTGGACCTTCCATCCTATTGTACATGTATTAATTTGTACTGTATGTTAATTATTATTTTGAAAATTGAGCCCTAGCTTAAAATATTGATCCTGTTAATAATATGTTTTCAATGGTTTGATCAAGGAAGATATCTAACCAAGGAACAAATGGTTTAATTGAAGATTTGTTTGTTCTATTAAGCTGATGCTTATACAGTTAAATTTGTTGTGTGTGTTTTTTTTTTTCATTTCATTAAAATTTACAAATATCCATGTAAAATGTTTTTTACCCAAAGTTAATATTAACAGATCTTTATTAATATTTAAAAAATCCACACTTCATATAAATTAAAAGGTCATATCAAGATGAATTTCTGAAATATCTGATTTTGTAAAACTTTCATTGAAAATGAACAAAACAAATGTGTTAGTGTCATGTGCTGTCTCAAGAAATTATAGAAATGCAAATGCTGTTCTGTAATTTACTTCGTAGTGGATCTGTTCACAAACTCCCTTTAATAATAATAATAATAATAATCCGAGGTTTTTATATACCACTTTATCACAACCTACTTTGTAGGTCGCCTCAAAGCATAAAAACCCCATCTTTCTCAACTCCCTGGGGAGCATACAGCCGATGCTGCCATATCAACACTCACTGTTAGCATTCAACAATTCTAGCACTGCCCAACCACGTACTCATTTACAGCTGAGTAGACTGGAACAAGCAGAGTAAAGTATCTTGCTCAAAGATACAACACAGTGCCTTGCCGTGACTCGAACCTGTAACCCTTCGGTCACGAACCTGGCGTCCTACCACTAGACCACCGTACCTCTTTACAGGATTCGCTAATTATAGCATCATTCATCTCTTGTGGTCAGTTATTTCTATGTATGTTAATAATAGAATCAGTGATCCATTTATAATTAAGAAAGGTAAATCTCAACCCAAGGTGGTCAAGAATGAAGCTTAATCAAGTTCTGAAATCTCAAAATCTTATAAAAAATGTCTGAGAATTTTCTATCTACATCTAGTTACTTGGTTATATTTCTCCAACATTTGTTATCTAAATGTTCTGATTAATTGATACGAAAAAAAATGTCTGAGAATTTTCTATCTACATCTAGTTACTTGGTTATATTTCTCCAACATTTGTTATCTAAATGTTCTGATTAATTGATACGAAATACGTAACTGATTATTTACATTAAAAAACCTGGTTGTAACATTGTGGTGTGACAACATATACATTTTTTTGCCCATCATCATCAGATGTGGCCATCTTGAATTTTGAGATAAGACCATCTTGAATTTCGAGAGTTAAAGATTGTTGGAGATATTTTTCGGAAATCCTTGGAGACATCTTTCTCAAATTTCACATGAAGATTCCAAATGGTCCTTCTTATGCATATTGAGTTTTGGTACTGATGGGAAAAACAGGATGGCCTCCAGACAGCCATCATTCATTTTGACAGGATGTGCTCACTCAGGACAGATTTTTATAAATCCTATGTTGTGCATGTTTCATTTTGGATTTTGACAGTTCCAGTGTTATCACTATTTCCCAAGAAGCACTTGACAGATCATTCTTAAATTTCAAATTTAGGTTCCCATGGTTACACAATAAGTACTGCATGCATGTAAATAGGCCAAAGGACAAGCTTTACTGTTTACATGACTCAAACCAACAGATAAAAGTATTAAAGAAGAGAAAATCGATCTTACATGCCAAGAAGACATATCTCTTGTTGTTTTTGACACATGCAGTAACGCAGTGTCTAGAGGATCGCTCAATTGCACAGTGGATACTTGCGCCATCTATGACCTTATATAGTCTCGGTCCTTATATGGCATCTGATATCTCCTTTTATGGATGTCATTCATTCACTTTTCATTCATATGCAAATGTTTTCGGAAGCGACCCCTAGCATTTTCATTCATACCGTAGTGACGCCATTTTGTGGTTTGCCAACTAATAGGCAGAGAAAGCATTCACTTTGATACTTTCTTAACTAGCCATGTTTTTCATTTTGGCCAGAATTTGTTTTTTATGCAATTTGCGTTTCCTTTTAAACATAGTTTAGTTTTGTTCCTACATGGATATGCTTATATATGATTGTGTTCCGATTGTATTATAAAATGTTGATTACCGTTAATATGTAGCTAGAAAATAATTATCTCGCAAAGTGCTTCAAGTATATGTATATATAATTTCAACTGTTATCAAAAGCTAGTTAGTGCAATGATTACTCGAACAGCAATCAAATTGAAATTACCTCATTTTGTTCTAAGGATACACGAACAATTATCAAATTGAAATTTCCTCATTTTGCTCAAATGGAGTTTTGGAAGCTTTCAAACACTTCATATGTTCAATTTGTATAAGTGAATATGTTTGTATCTATATTACCGGGTATGTGTTTTAGTAAGTTTACATTTATATAGGGCTCATACTTTTGTGGTGTATCATTTTAAGTGAACATATTTCAACATAAATCTGAAATGAAAATAAAATGGTTACTTGAATAGTATTTTGTTTTGTCACAAATGTATCTCAGTTCAAAGATTATATTTTTAGCTCACCTGGTCCAAAGGACCAAGGTGAGCTTATGCCATACCGTGGCGTCCGTCCGTCCGTCCGTCCGTCCGTACGTCAACAATTTCTTTAAACAGCTTCTTCTTCTTAACCACTGGTTGGAATTAAACTAAATTTGACTGGAAGCATCCCTAGGTGGTGGGGATTCAAAATTGTACAAATGGTGGGGCTGAGGGGCGGGGCCAAAAGGGGTCAATTTGCCCATATTGCTTTAAGCGACTTCTTCTCTGAAACTAAGAAGTGGATATCAACCATATTTGACTGGAAGCATCCCTAGGTGATGGTGATTAAAAATTGTACAAATGGTGGGGCTGACTCCCCAGGGGGCTAAGGGGCGGGGCCAAAAGGGGGCCATTTGGCTATATTGCTACAAACGACTTCTTCTGTAGAACTGTGCACTGGATATCAATCATATTTGATCAAAAGCATTCCTGGGAGGCAGGGATTTAAAATTGTACAAATGGTGTGGCTGACCCCCCAGGGGGCTGAGGGGCAGGGCCAAAAAGGGTATTTGGCTATACTGCTTTAAGTGACTTCTTCTCTGGAACTAAGTGATGGATATCAACCTTATTTGACTGGAAGCATCTCTAGGTGGTGGAGATTCAAAATTGTACAAACGGTTGGGCTGACCCCCCAGGGGGCTGAGGGGCGGGGCCAAAAGGGGGCAATTTGGTTATATTGCTATAAATGACTTCTTCTGCAGAACTATGCCATGGATATTGATCATATTTGGTCGGAAGTATTCATGGGAGGCAGGGATTCAAAATTGTACAAATGGTGGGGCTGACCCCCCGGGCTAAGGGGTGGGGCCAATAAAATGTATTACTTGGAAATGGTTGAGATCCCCACCATATAACCATATATACAATTGCTGAGTATAAAGAGAAGAATGCACATTTGCTTCCAGGATGTCCCTAGGGTCTGGCCCCACCCTTGGAGACATAGTCCCTGGGCCATAACTTTAAAACGGTTGAGATCCCCACCCCAAAACTATATATACAAATGCTGGGCATAAAGAGACGAATGCAATCATGATATCAGAATAGACCCTGGGGTCTGACCGAACCCCTAGGGACCTAGTTTCTTAGTCACAGCTTGGAAACAGTTGAGAGCCCCACCCTATAACCGTATATATACAATTGCTGAGTATAAAGAGATGATTGCACATATGCTTCCAGGTTGGCCTTGGGGACTGCCCCACCCTTGGAGACTTAACCCCTGGGTCATAACTTTGAAATGGTTAATATCCCCACCCCAAAACTATATATACAATTGTTGGGCATAAAGAGACGAATGCAGTCATGACATTAGAATTGATCCCAGGGTCTGCCCCACCCTTGCAGACTTGGCCCCTGGGTCATAACTTTGAAACGGTTGAGATCCCCACCCCAAAACTATATATACAAATGCTTGGCAAAAAGAGACAAATGCAGTCACGATATTAGAATCGATCCTGGGGTCTGGCCACAACTCTAGGGACCTAGTTTCTGAGTCAAAGCTTGGAAACAGTTGAGATCCCCACCCCATAACCATACATAAAATTTCTGGGCATGAAAAATCTAATATAGCTATGCTACAAGGATTGGCCTTAGGGTCTGGCATATTCCCTTGATCTCATTTGGAGAATAGTTTGCCATGATTGCTTAGGTATCCAGGTGAGCGATACAGGCCCTCTGGGCCTCTTGTTATATATATGCGTTGTATCTGCATTTGTTACAATCCAATTTTAATCTTCATTTGTTGGAAGTGTATGTTAAGGAAGTCTTTGGTATTTACTTTTTAAAATGCTGATTTTGATAAGGTATAATACATAACCGTAATAAGGGCCCCGTATCGAAGATACAGGTTCCTATGGTGATCGCTGTCTTTCTGTCTGTCTATCCACAAATTTTGTTCCTGGCTGATAACTTTGATAGTTATTGACATATTTATTGACAGATTTACATGAAACTTGGTCAAGATGTTAAGTTAAAAAAATACACACTGAGGTAAAAAGTCAAGGTCATTAGGTTCAAATGTCAAGGTAAAATTTTGCCTCTTTTCACTTATGAACATTTTGTTTAAGTTGATTAGAATTAAATGAGTCAACTGACCTAAGGTCAGGGTCAGATGTCAAGGTTACTTGGTCAAAGGTCAAGGTCAAATTTTGTAGCTTTTCACTAGTGAGCATTTTCTGACATTATGAAGCAAAGGTTGTCGGAATTAAACAAAGAAACACACTGGTAAAAAGTCCTGGTAAGAGGTCAAGGTCAATTAGGTTCGAAGGTCAAGGTCAAATTTTGTATCTTTTCACTGTTGAACATTTTGTTATGACATGATGAAGCAAAGTTGATCAGAATTAAACAATGAGTCAACTGACTTAAGGTCACTGGGTCAAAGGTCAAGGTCAAATTTTGTAGATTTTCACTAATGAGCATTTTATAACATTATGAAGCAAAGTTGGTTGGAATTAAACAAAGATTCAACTGACGTAAGGTCAAGGTCACCGGGTCAAAGATCAAGGTCAAATTTAGTATCTTTTCACTGGTGAACACTCCGTTATGACACTTTGAAGCAATAATGGTCGGAATTAAACAAGGAGTCAGATAACCAAAGGTCAAGGTCACTGGGTCAAAGGTCAAGGTCAAATTTTGTATCTTTTTTATGTTATTTTGAAGCAAATTTGTTCAAAACTTAACACAGAATCAACTGGCCAAAGGTTCAGGTTACAGAGTCCAAAGGTTCAAGGTAAAGGTCAAGTTTTGTTATGATATTATGAAGCAAAGTTAGTCGGAATTAAGGAATAAGTCAGCCGACCAAAGATCAGGGTCGCTGGGTTAAAGGTCAAGGTCATTTGGGTCCAAAGGTCAAAGACAAAGTGGATCTCTGACTTTGACCCTGGCTCTTGATGGGGGAGGTATTTAAGGTGAAATAAAACAAATCAAAGCTAACAAATGAGTATTGCACCGGAATTTACATTTCTGTTAGCCCAGCAAATATGGAATAGGAAGGAAACAAGACTCACATCATAGTACATGTAAAATGTATATTTTGCTTCCTTGCGATTCTTTTTGAAGTCAAAACGTCAAGCTCAGCTATATGGGCAGATTGATTATGAGGGATATATTGCCACCAGATGGGGCCTTACTGACTTATCAGTGTTCTAGTTTAACATTATAAAAGTCTAAAAATCTATTAAGAAAAGCCTCAAATTTCAAAATCCTACCGAACATGGCCTATGTGTATGTGTATGTAAATGGTAGCCTACAGAACACGGTATATGTGTATGTAAATGGTAGCCTACAGAACACGGCCTATGTGTCTGTTAATGGTAGACTACAGATCGCGGCCTTTGTGTATGTGTCTGTTAATGGTAGACTACAGAACACGGCCTTTGTGTATGTGTCTGTTAATGGTAGACTACAGAACAAGGCCTATTTGTATGTGTCTGTTAATGGTAGACTACAGAACACGGCCTATGTGTATGTGTATGTTAATGGTAGACTACAGAACACAGCCTATGTGTATGTGTGTGTTAATGGTAGACTGCAGAACACGGCCTATGTATATGTGTCTGTTAATGTTAGACTGCAGAACACAGCCTATGTGTATGTGTCTGTTAATGGTAGACTAATATGTGTATGTAAATGGTAGCCTACAGAACACGGTATATGTGTATGTAAATGGTAGCCTACAGAACACGGTATATGTGTATGTAAATGGTAGCCTACAGAACATGGCCTATGTGTCTGTTAATGGTAGACTACAGAACCCAGCCTATGTGTATGTGTCTGTTAATGGTAGACTACAGAACAGGGCCTTTGTGTATGTGTCTGTTAATGGTAGACTACAAAACACAGCCTATGTGTATGTGTCTGTTAATGGTAGACTACAGAACACGGCCTATGTGTATGTGTCTGTTAATGGTAGACTGCAGAACACGACCTATGTGTATGTGTCTGTTAATGGTAGAAGACAGAACACGGCCTATGTGTATGTGTCTGTTAATGGTAGACTACACAACACGGCCTATGTGTATGTGTCTGTTAATAGTAGACTACAAAACACAGCCTATGTGTATGTGTCTGTTAATGGTGGACTACAAAACACGGCCTTTGTGTATGTGTCTGTTAATAGTAGACTACAAAACACAGCCTATGTGTATGTGTCTGTTAATGTTAGACTACAGAACACAGCCTATGTGTATGTATCTGTTAATGGTAGACTACAGAACACGGACTATGTGTATGTGTATGTTTATAGACAGAACATTGGCCTATGTGTATGTGTCTTGTTTATGTGTCTGTTAATGGTAGACTACAGAAAACGACCTATGTGTATGTGTCTGTTAATGGTAGCCTCCAGAACACGGCCTATGTGTCTGTTAATGGTAGACTACAGCACACGGCCTATCTGTATGTGTCTGTTAATGGTAGACTACATACCACGGCGTATGTGTCTGTTAATGGTAGACTACACAACACGGCCTATGTGTATGTGTCTGTTAATGATAGACTACAAAACACAGCCTATGTGTATGTGTCTGTTAATTGTAGACTACAGAACACGGCCTATGTGTATGTATCTGTTAATGGTAGACTACAGAACACGACCTATGTGTATGTGTCTGTTAATGGTATACTACAGAACACGGCCTATGTGTATGTATCTGTTAATGGTAGACTCCAGAACACGGCCTATGTGTATGTGACTGGTAATGGGAGGCTACAGAACACGGCCTATGTGTATGTATCTGTTAATGGTAGACTACAGAACACGACCTATGTGTATGTGTCTGTTAAAGAACACAGCCTATGTGTATGTGTCTGTCAATGGTAGACTGCAGAACACGACCTATGTGTATGTGTCTGTTAATGGTAACCTACAGAACACGGCCTATGTGTATGTTTCTGTAAATGGTAGACTACAGAACACGGCCTTTGTGTATGTGTCTGTCAATGGTAGCCTACAGAACAAGGCCTTTGTGTATGTGTCTGTTAATGGTAGTCTACAGAACACGGCCTATCTGTATGTGTCTGTTAATGGTAGACTACATAACACGGCCTTTGTGTATGTGTCTGTTAATTGTAGACTACAGAATACGACCTATGTGTATGTGTCTGTTAATGGTAACCTACAGAACACGGCCTATGTGTATGTTTCTGTAAATGGTAGACTACAGAACACGGCCTTTCTGTATGTGTCTGTTAATGGTAGACTACAAAACACGGCCTTTGTGTATGTGTCTGTTAATGGTAGACTACATAACACGGCCTATGTGTATGTGTCTGTTTATGGTAGAAGACAGAACACGGCCTATGTGTCTGTTAATGGTAGACTACAGAAAACGACCTATGTGTATGTGTCTGTTAATGGTAGAATACAGACCACGGCCTATGTGTATGTGTCTGTTAATAGTAGTCTACAGAACACGGCCTATGTGTATGTATCTGTTAATGGTAGACTACAGAACACGCCCTTTGTGTATGAGAATGTTAATGGTAGCCTACAGAACAAGGCCTTTGTGTATGTGTCTGTTAATGGTAGACTACAAAACACAAAGTATGGGTATGTGTCTGTTAATGGTAGACTACAAAACACGGCCTATGTGTATGTGTCTGTTAATGTTAGACTGCAGAACACAGCCTATGTGTATGTGTCTGTTAATGTTAGACTGCAGAACACAGCCTATGTGTATGTGTCTGTCAATGGTAGACTGCAGAACACGACCTATGTGTATGTGTCTGTTAAAGAACACAGCCTATGTGTATGTGTCTGTTAATTGTAGACTACAGAATACGACCTATGTGTATGTGTCTGTTAATGGTAACCTACAGAACACGGCCTATGTGTATGTGTTGTCTGTTAATGGTAGCCTACAGAACACGGCCTATTTTTATATGTCTCTTAATGGTAGACTACAGAACACAGCCTATGTGGATGTGTCTGTTAATGGTAGACTACAGAACCCGGCCTATCTGTATGTGTCTGTTAATGGTAGACTACATACCTCTGTCTATGTGTCTGTTAATGGTAGACTTCAGAACACAGCCTATGTGTATGTGTCTGTTAATGGGAGACTACAGAACACGGCCTATGTGTATGTTTCTGTAAATGGTAGACTACAGAACACGGCCTTTGTGTATATGTCTGTTAATAGTAGACTACAGAACACGGCCTATGTCTCTGTTAATGGTAGCCTACAGAACACGGCCTTGCTGGATGTGTCTGTTAATAGTAGACTACAGAATACGGCCTATGTGTATGTGTCTGTTAATAGTAGACTACAGAATACGGCCTATGTGTATGTGTCTGTTAATGATAGACTACAAAACACAGCCTATGTGTATGTGTCTGTTAATTGTAGACTACAGAATACGACCTATGTGTATGTGTCTGTTAATGGTAGACTACAGAACACGGCCTATGTGTATGTGTATGTTTATAGACAGAACATTGGCCTATGTGTATGTGTCTGTTTATAGACAGAACGTGGCCTATACGGTTATGTCTAACGGAATGCAATTGGAGATAATCTATGCCTTAGGTCTGATAAATGGTTACTACAAAAGGAAATTTGATGAACAACGAAACGAATTTTCTCAGTAAATACAAATAATAATAAACAAAATATTTCTGAAACCGAAAAGGGAACCACTCTAGTTCATGTAACCCAAGAATGTCGTTTCATTCCAAGGTGAGGTCTAGCAATCAACAATGGATATCAAATCAACATTTCTGATTTGGACGAAAGAGGAACAGTGTAACGTAGTAAACCTTAGTCTGCGATAGAAAGAGACTGTTGTGAACAGAGAATATTGCACAGCTTTATTAGATATCACAGTTAGTACACACTTATATTTGCATTTCCTCTGTATTGCTATTACATGGACATTATGGGACTATGAATATGTACTGGTGATCATAACGTCATGATACTGTAAAAGGGTGTTTTTTTGCGGTGTCGAAATATTCGCATTTTTAATTAGGAAATAAGCAAAATATCTACACGCTAACATTTATTTACAGATTATTTATATTAAGATATATAGACTTCAGAACATGGCACGCGCAAACATTTCCATTTTGGAAACAGTTTATACAGGAACGTTTCCACACACAGAAATTGACGTTTATCGGATTATGTCAAAAAGAAATTTCACGAAAAATGACTTTTGTCATATTTATCTCGCTCACATTAACAGCTCGCCTGCTTTTTTGGGAAGAAAGGTTCAGATTTCTTCTTCCCAACTAGTAAGGCTTGGAGAATGTATACACAATAATCTAAACGACCTAAACCTTTATTCAAGGCTACAGCTCCAGGTACAATTTCAATATTTCTGACCGTGTAACATGACTACAAAGTTTGAAATAAAAACGTTCGAGCACAAAATCATGAATATGTGCCCAGAGGTCTCTTGATTTCCTGTAACGCTAAAATTGCATACGACAAGGTAATCTACATATACAGCTTGTAAATCGATAACGCACTTTACTTCACATATACATGATTTGTAATACATCGTAATAAATTAATAACACAAAAAGTCTAATACACAACAAAATATTAACAAAGGAAATAATCATATATTATTTCGTATCACAGTTATATTTGAAGTTAATACCACACTCCGTTTCATGTCCCATGTAAGAAATCGCCAACCGTCTAATGTTGAGCAGCTTTTTTGGTAAAAAAAAAACCCAACTAAGCATAGCATAGGCATAATGCTATGCCATTTATAGTTCCAATGTGTTTGGTAACACATGTAATATTACAAACATCCCCACGTACCAGTTCTCCTAACATATTGCACAATAAGTCGTCCATGGTACGGATCGGCCCCACAAATACTGGATAAGATTCTGCTGTTCTCAACTTGTTTAAAAGTAATTGAGGTAATGATGCGCGGTAGTAAAGTCCGTTGCCAATGAGTGTTCGACGTTTTTCAAAGGGTTTACAGATATACCCGCTCCCATTTCATATTGCCTTATAACAATGTCATTTTGCAGAAACTGAAACAGTTTCGACTTTTCGGAAGTGGTCGATCTCATTTCTTGCTTGCGGATAAGTGATCGGCATTATACTGTATAATGGCGTGTTAAACTTCTACACTTTCACACAGAGTTTCGTCTATCATCTTTTCGTAACCAGCCTTCAAGGGTTTGGTTGGACAGCATAGCGTGTACCTCTCCACGATAACGTAGACTAGCATTACAAGGCCCTGGTGAGAAAACACAAACGCAAATAAACAATACTTATCGTATATCATCTAACATATTCCTTATCATAACATTAAAAATATAAATTAGTAATGAACTAAAAATGAACTATTTGTATACTAGTTGATAAGAAAAAACAACTATAGAAACATAAGGATATCATGAACCAAACAAATCGAAAGATGGTCTAGTAGGTACCCATTATGTCTCCTGTCAGTTGCCGTGAATAAAGGTGGGGGGTAAAATGACAGAGAGAAAAAACGATAAATATTCACAGATTTGATTTAATGTGATATTAGATGCAGCAGATCTATTGCATTTGATGTTGTTATGGATTCAGCAAATATGTTGCACTTAGTATATCCATGTAGGGAGGTAAGTATATGGTGTATCAGACACATGCACAGTGTCTCCGAGCCAAAAGAACAGACATCCTAATTTCCTAATTTGCCCTCAAACAAATAATCAAGATGTCTTTCATGATATTATGACTAAACAAGGACAGATTCAACACGAAAAGACAATCGGAACCGAGGAGACGCCAAAATACTGGGAGAGACATCAGGAACCGTGGAGACGCCAAAATACTGGGAGAGACATCAGAAACCGTGGAGACGCCAAAATACTGGGAGAGACATCAGGAACCGAGGAGACACCTACGGCAGGAATGACAGGAACGACATCACGGACCATGGAGACACCAAACCAACAGGAGACACCTATCCGGCAGGAACGACAGCACGGACCAAAGAGACACCAAAACAACAGGAGAGACCTATTCGGCAGGAACGACATCACGGACCAAGGAGACACCAAATCAACAGGAGACACCTATTCGGCAGGAACGACATCACGGACCGGGGAGACACCAAATCAACAGGAGACACCTATTCGGCAGGAACGACATCCCGGACCAAAGAGACACCAAAACAACAGGAGACACCTATTCGGCAGGAACGACATCACGGACCAAGGAGACATCAAAACAACAGGAGACCCCTATCCGGTAGGAACGACATCACGAACCAAGGAGACACCAAAACAACAGGAGACACCTATCCGGCAGGAATGACATCACGGACCAAGGAGACATCAAAACAACAGGAGACACCTATCCGGCAGGAACGACATCACGAACCAAGGAGACACCAAAACAACAGGAGACACCTATTCGGCAGGAACGACATCACGGACCAAAGAGACACCAAAACAACCGGAGAAACATATTCGGCAGGAATGACATCACGGACCAAGGAGACACAAAAACAACAGGAGACACCTATCCGGTAGGAACGACATCACGGACCAAGGAGACACCAAACCAACAGGAGACACCTATCCGGCAGGAACGCCATCACGGACCAAGGAGACACGTAAACAACAGGAGACACCTATCCGGCAGGAACGAAATCACGGACCAAGGAGACACGTAAACAACAGGAGACACCTATCCGGCAGGAACGACATCACGAACCAAGGAGACACCAAAACAACAGGAGACACCTATTCGGTAGGAACGACATCACGGACCAAGGATACACGTAAACAACAGGAGACACCTATCCGGCAGGAACGACTTCACGGACCAAAGAGACACCAAAACAACAGGAGCCACCTAGTCGGCAGGAACGACATCACGGACCAAAGAGACACCAAAACAACCGGAGAAACATATTCGGCAGGAATGACATCACGGACCAAGGAGACACAAAAACAACAGGAGACACCTATTCGGCAGGAACGACATCCCGGACCAAAGAGACACCAAAACAACAGGAGACACCTATTCGGCAGGAATGACATCACGGACCAAGGAGACATCAAAACAACAGGAGACACCTATCCGGTAGGAACGACATCACGAACCAAGGAGACACCAAAACAACAGGAGACACCTATCCGGCAGGAATGACATCACGGACCAAGGAGACATCAAAACAACAGGAGACACCTATCCGGCAGGAACGACATCAGGGACCAAGGAGACACCAAAAAAACAGGAGACACCTATTCGGCAGGAATGACATCACGGACCAAGGAGACACAAAAACAACAGGAGACACCTATCCGGTAGGAACGACATCACGGACCAAGGAGACACCAAACCAACAGGAGACACCTATCCGGTAGGAACGACATCACGGACCAAGGAGACACCAAAACAACAGGAGACACATATTCGGCAGGAACGACATCACGGACCAAGGAGACACGTAAACAACAGGAGACACATATTCGGCAGGAACGACATCAGGGACCAAGGAGACACCAAAACAACAGGAGACACCTATCCGGCAGGAATGACATCACGGACCAAGGAGACACCAAAACAACAGGAGACACCTATTCGGCAGGAACGACATCAGGGACCAAGGAGACACCAAAACAACAGGAGACACATATTCGGCAGGGATGACATCACGGACCAAGGAGACACCAAAACAACAGGAGACACCTATCCGGCAGGAATGACATCACGGACCAAGGAGACACCAAAACAACAGAGGAGAGACCTAAACGGCAGGAATGACAACAGGGACAAAGGAGACACCAAGTCACTGGGAATGACAATAGGAACGGAGGAGTCACCAACAAAACAGGGAAAAAAATACAGGAATCAAGCGTCATTAAAACAACAGGAAAGGAATCAGGATTTGAGGAGAAATCAAAATAGTTGGAAAGATTTCAGAAAACGAGGAGTCATTAAAGCATAGGACATGAATTAGGAACCATCAGAACTCTAGGAAAGAGAACAGGAGTCACGACAAATACCGAAAGTAAAACCTGGTGCTACCAAATAATCCAGTGATATATAATACATCGTAAGACGTACAGCAAAGATGAATAGTCCACCGCATGCAGTACAGGACCAAGGGAACTCGAACTCCTGCACCAAGGCACCGGCCACCATCGGTCCGATAAAAGCTCTAGAATTAAAAAAGGTACAAAGTTGTGAAGTGTTGTCTATCATCGAATATCTCAATATGTAAACCCTGTGAACTCCCCTCAGTAGTCTATGCGTATTAATTCGATCGATTTCAATATCAGCGACAGTGTTGAGAACAAGTATTGACACAGTTCAGACAATAGTGTACAATACATAGCTTTAATCAAACCGAAAACTGTTAGTGTTACTACATGTAGCACAAGTCTAAAGTGATCTCCGTTACAGACTCACACATATAGCAGAAAGATGACATAGGAAACCATGTGTTTAATCAGACACCAAGCAGGTACCAAAAGTAAACGTTTATTTCATTGCTGATAACCTATCATTTTGGAACTCACCCTAGAGACCAGCACGAATTGTAGATGCCCGCAATTAGTCCATGAGTTTCAAAATCGTCCTCCATTCCAAGTTGTCTGAAAGGTGATGTCATAATAATATATTCTTCAGGACTATTTTCCATAAGAGATATATCATTATTGAATTAGCTTTAGAAATTAAACATATAGTATTAATCGAGTTTTCTTCTTCACAATATTTCTAGTTCTCCGTGGCATTAATTAATCCGAGCTAAATTATTCAAGAGACATCGAGGTAAGAACTTATCTATTAGAATACCTGCATAATTCATAAATAAAGATTTCTAAAATGTATTTGGATCAATTGAATGTATAATAGTATAAGTTAATTGTTTCATCCAAAGTCATAGGGGATTTCTTCACTTAAAATGTCTGATTAATAAATGCAAAACATTTATCATTGTTACACTTGTTTGCTAAGGTGTCTGAATTGAAATACGACATTTCGTTATTGGGTAAATTAATCATTTACTTGACGGCTCCCTCGACTAGGACATTATAGGTGGGAATGATGGCCGCTCCACAAAATACTCCGACTAGAACAAGAGCCAGTATCTGGGCCCACACTTCGCTGTAATAAAGTCAATAATGTAGATAGAGTTAGGGGCTCAAACAATTACATAATAAAGGTTATAATATTGATGTAGAGTCATTGAAGTAGAAAATTCAGTGTCTTGGCTAAAACAACTATATGATAAAAACAATAGAGTCACTTTAATAGAAGAGTCGGTACCTGGGCTCAAACATTATATAATAAACGGAATAGAGTCGTATTGAGCTCAAACAACTACAAAATAAAAACAATAGAGTCACTTTAATAGAAGAGAAGGTACCTGGGCTCAAACATTATATAATAAACGCAATAGAGTCGTATTGAGCTCAAACAACTATAAAGTAAAAACAATAGAGTCACTTTAATAGACGAGTCAGTTCCTGGGCTCAAACATTATATAACAAGCACAATAGAGTCGTATCGAGCTCAAACAACTATAAAGTAAAAACAATAGAGTCACTTTAATAGACGAGTCAGTTCCTGGGCTCAAACATTATATAACAAGCACAATAGAGTCGTATCGAGCTCAAACAACTATAAAGTAAAAACAATAGAGTCACTTTAATAGACGAGTCAGTTCCTGGGCTCAAACATTATATAACAAGCACAATAGAGTCGTATCGAGCTCAAACAACTATAAAGTAAAAACAATAGAGTCACTTTAATAGACGAGTCAGTTCCTGGGCTCAAACATTATATAACAAGCACAATAGAGTCGTATCGAGCTCAAACAACTATAAAGTAAAAACAATAGAGTCACTTTAATAGACGATTCGGTACCTGGGCTCAAACAATGGTATGAAAACAATAATACAAAGTAGCTATAATACATCATCTATCATAGGCGACAGATGAAAGACAAAAGATGTTATGTAGACCTATGTAGAATGTTAATGTAATTAATTCATGATATTGTGATCAATTTATACACTTCGTCATGTTTGTAGTACAGTTATAAAATGAAGTAAGTCATAAAACAATTATACATTTCATTGGAACTTGTTGTAAAACTCATTCCTTTTGTCACATAGATGGTTGTTTTGACATTTGAATACAATTGATTTGCATATAGATATTCATATCAACACTTACAATGGGTAGAACACAAGAAATGGTGAGGGTCCCAGCAACATATATCCAAAGCCCGTTGCTATGTTCCCGAAAATAATAAGACCTTTTAAGACTCCCTGAAAGTAACCACAGAGTGCAATATGTATGTATTATAACATTGTTTCAATACATAGGGCTCTATCAGAGTCGGGCATGTTTTCGTTGACGAATCAGATCTCGACCTACGGATCTCGACGTGATCCGCCAATGAAAAACATGAGACACACGGATACTGGCCTGAATAAGTTCAAAAGCAGATCATTTATTTTTACTGTTCAGACAATATCATTCCGGGCTACATGTCTTTATTTATTTGTTTTTGCGAACTATTAAAGCACATTGAAGAAAATATTTTTACCGCTAAGGACCTAGGTTAAAGGGAACCATCAAGTCAAACAATGATAATACCATTTGGCGATTATTTGTTTCAGCCCTTTAAAAAAAAAGTATTCCATACAAATAACCAACTACAATGCGTTTTACATAATTACAGTTGTTAGAAAGACTGATTGTAAATATGAATAAAAAAAGTAAACAAAAAACTGCAGAAGTCGATTTTGGGACCTTTATATTACAACGCATACGCAAAGTTATAACTGCAATTGGTCAAAAATAGTGTCAAAGCAGTGGGCCGTGAATAAGTAGACAGGGAAAGTTACTTTCAGCTAGGAAAACTCCTTATGGGTTCCGCCATCTTTTATATAGAGAGGGGAGAATATAATGATAGTAAAAGAAAACTCTGTTTGGAACTCTTCTTCGCTATTATAACTGATGCAGTGGTACTTTACCTAAGTTACAAAGGTAAAATTTAAATTAGAATTGTTAAAAAAAACCTTTTCGTTAGTTATGGTGGGCTCATCATTAAAGGATACTGACGATATTGCACGGTACAGTTCAACTTGATGTTGAATACATGCGATTGAAAGAGATTTGCCACATTTTCCTGACACCAAGACACACTCTGCGAGCTTTTTTAGATGCATAATACGTGTATATTGCAGGAGTGCAAAGAATAATAGACATCGTCTTTCGAATTTCGTTTAAATTATGTGATTCCGTTCATCGAGAGGTTGATGTTTGATTCTACTTCAGACAGATTTATACCGGTGACTAGCAGACAATTGCGACCATACTTTAAACACATTTAATGAAATACAATTCTTGTTTTTGATGACTTCCTTTCGCTGTTACGAGATGTCAATGTTTATTCAAACTGAATATTTACAACTTCACAAACAGTTCTTGCAGTAGGCAGTTACGACCGTTTGAATAAATTCCTGACCAATACAACATTATATATCGACGTTATGCAAATGGCCAAAAATGAAAGAACAACGACATTGTGAATATCAGATGTAAGTTACTCTTTATGCCTCTCCACTAATAACAAGAACAACTCAAACAGAAAATGTGAAATAAATATCCACCCAAAGTATGACATTTGTAATTATTTCACTGATTAAGCCACCATGTGGCTTCTTTCAAAACCTTGTAATTACTTAGAAAATCACATAAATACAAAGTAGTTGCAAATATACCAAACACGGTAGCAACTACAACCAAAATATTACCAAAAACCTTAGCTAGCCTAAGTTGGGTTGCCAAAAAAACCGCCACAAAGACATTTATGGAACACCTTTCATGAATGCCTTTCATATATACTAGTAAAAAAAAATCGAAATGGCAGCCGTGGCGGCCATATTAAATTTCTGATCGATCCGAAAAAGAACAACGTTTTGTCAGGACCATGAGTCGTTCATTCCTACAAGGTTTCAGTTCAATCGGCCCAAAGCTAAAGCTCAGGTGACCTTAAAACACAAACAGCTAAAATACTCATGGCTTTATTATATGTTAAAATGAAGACTTACCTTCGTGTCTCCAATCCAGCCCCAAACAGGTGCCCCGATGGCGTACGTGGCAGAGTTAATTAAGAACATAATTCCTATCAATATCGTTGATAAATCCAGCTACAAATCAAGATGAGAAATGTATGCTGTATTGAACATTTAGATTCTACGCAAACTTTTATTTAGTATTCTAAAGCACGTGATCAATCATTAATGTTTTCCATCTAAACGATGAACGTAACACACAAATAGACTGATCTTTATTGCACCTATAAAATAGCTTATAGACATTGAATGCCTAAAAATGAATTACACTGCGTCATACAGCTGTTTCGTCCTTCTAAGGGGGTGGGGGTTGCAAAAGTTTGAAATCTGATTGTCTAAATTACTTTCAAACAGAGGGACAGGTACGTAAACCCCTGTAAACCCATTATTTTTTTAATTTCAAATTTTAGAGGTTTACTAGTTAAATAAAAAGGTTAGAAGAAATCGTAATAAATTCTTCATATCCCACGTCTTTATAATAAACATTGCAATGCACCATTGGCGATATTGTAGGCAATATTTCTCACGGTCAACACATATTATAAAGTATCAATATTGTTTGGACAGACCTGTTCCAGTCGGTCAGCTAAAACTGGCTCCAGGAATCCCAAGCCAATTGTACCGCACACAGTGATGAAGCAGACGACAACACATAAAGGACTCTTGAGCAAGTAAAATATTGAGCGTGATAACGTCTGCTTTTTATCTATAAAAAGACAATAAGTATCAAACAGGTCTTATATGTTAATCGTATGCGGCAGACGTAGAAGACATTGACTGATCAAACAACATTTGTATCGGCTTCTTTTGGATGTATTAAGCAGTCCTTAATATCAAAAATCGTTTCTCTTTGAAAACAAGACATAACTGATGCAGCAAATTGAATTTGATATCCTGCCTAAGCTGTTGACATAGAAGAAAGACATCTCTGGTGCACAGAGCCAGCATTATTCTCTTCTTACATTATGTTAAGATACAACCATCCTCAAAATTCATGGGCTCCGCTTCCGATACATACATTTTAGGATATGTATATAGAGAAAGAAACCCATGAATTGCCAAACGAGAGGATGAGATACAATGGCCCACCAAACCTGTAAAGTTGACAATATCGGCCAAGGACAGCCACATATGGGACACAGTTGTACGAATATCGTCTAACATAGCAATTTATCACAGCATATTTCACACCAATCGGCATATTGCCTTTATCGATTATTGTTTTAAATGGAGATAGAGGATAAAACATTTACTCTACCGTCAATCTTCGGCATTACTAGAGGACAGATCATTCCACAAACTATCAAAATTCCACCCAGAACGTAAAACGGCATTCCGAAACCACCAACCTGAAGCAAGAACACAATAAACAGTAAATACGAATCCATGAAATATCAATGTCATGTTATACGATACCGATACAATAAGAATGCATTGCAGCATGAATTTAGATGATACGTAATAATGATAGTATCACAACAACAGTACATACCACATACAAGGCACTGCCAATGGCTGGTCCCACCATCATACCTACTCCGCTGAATGTCTCCAAAATCCCCTGCAGAACAAAGGGAAACTTTAGTAACAGAGTGTGATCAAACTTAAGTTCTATCCAGGTAAGTGGAGACCTAACACGACCATCACGCAGAACAATATTTTCAAGTTGAAGGGTCAACACAGAATTGAATAAGATAAAAAGTATAACGAACTGAGAATTATGAAAACCCGTGTTAATAAAACTCACGTATCACGAATTAGTTTCACTTAAAGAACCAGACTCGATGTTTTCATAAACAAGTGTTTCGAGGAATAGACATTTATTTAATTGGCAGAGAAATACTGAAATAATACGTTTTATCAAATAAGACGATAATGTGTATCCCATAACATTATGTATTCTATCACTGATTAAACGATGCATCATACTAGATGATAACTGAAAACAGGAGTTCAGTTGAGTACCATGTAGGAATGCTGTCATACTCGTTAAATAATTATCTGGGTTTCGCGTCCACTAAATTAGTATGACGGCAGTAGTATGATAGAGGAGAAGTTACTTACTATTACTGTAGACACGTGGTTTGGGTAGGCATGGGATATGATAGCGAAACTGGCTGTGATGTAAGCCGACGCTCCCAGGGCCTCAATACCCCGGGTCAGGAAACACATCGTAACGAACGTGCTCTCGTCAGGTATATTATCCAAAAATCTTTAATCACAAAATCGCATAATATAATGCAGGCTTAAAGTTTACGTCAAACGTCGTTATTATACTGGTAGGCAGAAAACCGTATTAAATTTGTGGTCACATAAATGCAATTTTGCAAATTGCAACTGAAACAGAGACATAAAATGTGATGATCAAAGAATTAGCTGTCCATCTTATTTATTATTATAAACATCGTTTTTTTATTACATCATTTTTAGTCTGTACAGAAAATTAGATATAAAAGAATATTCCTGTAAGCTGTTTACCTATTTTTTTTAGTTTTCTGACAATATAGTTTAGGATATTTTAGCAAAAACTAGACTAAAACCTCACCCAAATAAAATGGTGCACACGCCACACACACCAACACCAGCAATAAACATAAATTTGGAGCCAATCCTCGTTATCTGAAGAAGACATTGTGATAAATAATAATAAAAATAATAATTCGAGGTTCTTATATACCGCTTTATCACAACCTAGTTCGTAGGTCGTCTCAAAGCGGTTCACAAATTATTATCCTTGGTTATAGGGCATTTGCAACCAACCAATATCTTTCTCAACTCTCTGGGGAGCATACAGCCGGTGCTGTCATTTCGGCGCTCACAGCTAACATTCTACAATTCAAGTACTGCCCAACCACGTACTCATTTACAGCTGAGTAGACTGGATCAAGCGGATTAAAGTATCTTGCTGAAAGATACAACACAGTACCGTGACGCGAGTCGAACTCGCAACCCTTTGCAACTCGCAATGCTTGTAAATCTAATCATTTCACAACGAACGAAATAAAACTTACTAATCCAGGGGTTACGCTCATTTTCGCTCTCTACACCCCTGGAATATGCCATAGCATAATTGAAGGCTTGGTGTGCGCAACCTTGTTGATGAGACAGGAAGACTATTTCGATCCTTTGATAAACATCAAATCTCGCGGTCACGGGCCCGGCGTCCTACCACTAGAATACCCTGCCTTCAATGTTATATAAATGATGCACTGCGTATATAAAAAGCAGATTCTTTCTTCATTTACCCAACACTAACTCGTGTTTCGGGTAATAGATGGACTTTTTTCTAAATAAAGTTCAAAAAATACACTAGGCAACTACCGATCCTGACAGTTCGGGTGAGAACACAGGTGCCTTGAGTTTTGATGCTCTTACTGTATACTATCATGGTCATGTTCGCTATAAACCATATCTGGTGTTGTTGTGCAATTAAACAGTGAACACAGTACCGCCATAACAAAACTCTAAAACAGCATCACTACTCTATTCCAAACCTGCACACAGTATGTCTCCCACTATTCAAAGGGTTATCCATCGTTTTCCCTGTTCAAGATTCGTGTATCACTCTCTAGGGTAGGAAAGATAGCACGTGAAGAGAATCAATGGTATGACGTCATGGCAACAAGAAGCATTTTTGTTTTTTTAAACCTTGTATTGCAATGAAGGGAGAACAATAATCATATATTAGGATATTTCACTGTCGTACCCTTACAGTAAAGGAGAGTTCTAGTAATCTTAATATATTATCAAGATCTGTCATGAAATGTGTTATTGGTGTCATTATACAAATCCTCCATTCATTGTTTATAATAAAAACGATGAAATGATTCCTTTTTTTGATGTCTGATCAAATCTTTCAAAAACATTCAATACATACATAATTTCCATAGAGTGGTGCTGTGATGAATATTGTAAATTCAAAGGATCCGAAAACTAGACCAATCACAGTCTGGGTGACATTCTTTTCCGCGGCCTGGAAAAAACAAGTAAAAAACAATGTAATATGTCAATATACAGTATCATTAGACGTTAAAATGTATTGATAAGGAAACTAAGATATTAAGTGATGCACTTTATAACAGTACAGACAGACGGAATGTATTTTAAATTTACACTATCTAAGAGACCGTAGTTTAGAACATTAAATAAATGGTACAGTTATGGATGTATAATTAGATGTAATTCATAGCAGATTGCAAAGATTGGCATTGTCTATGTTAATGTGTTTGTCAGCGTATGATAATGGAAAAATGATTAATGTGTTTATCATTAAATAAAAATATTTATTACTCCGATATCAGTATACTGATAAAAAAAATCGTGTGAGATTAACATCCGTATAAATTCGCGAGAAATTATCATTAGTAAATTTAAATATTATCGATATCATTCAAATAGTTTGTTCTAGCAACAATTGCTATCATTATTGAAATAGCATCTTTTCAACCGCGAATTATGAATAAAGTCTGCGTTCTTAGTTCTCAAAATAATGTGAATGCGAAAAAAAGAATTGAGCATATAATATCCAAGATAAACTTATCGTGTAATTGAACAGTTTTCTTTCAATATGCTGACATTGACAGAACAAATAATGTTCTTGAATAGTAAGATTTTGGTTATAAGATTATGCCTTTAAATCTAATCATTTCACAACGAACGAAATAAAACTTACTGCATCCTCGATATCCAGGGATTACGCTCACTTTCGCTCTCTACACCCCTGGTATATGTCCTGGCGAAATTGAAGGCTCGGTGTGAGCCACCTTGTTGATGAGACAAGAAGACTAGTTCTATCCTTTGATATACATCAAAAGAATCTCGCGGTCACGTAACGGTAAACATTTATCGACTTTGAAGTCGGGCGTCTCTCCTTTGTAATCTTCAAACGACATGTATCAGTCTAGCGATATGTCAGTTCTTTTTTACCTGAGATCAATCAAACAGCTATCTTCGTGCCTTTTAATTTGCTATGACATATTTCAGGGGTGAAGAGAGCGAAAGTGAGCGTAACCCCTGGATATCGAGGTTGAATTTAGTGAAAACTTACCTCTTTTGGGTAAAAAGGAGAAAGAAGAGAAAAGCATGCCATGGCACAAAAATTCACCATTCCCAACGAAAGTAGGAGAATTTTCTTTGACCTTGGTGCATTAAAAAAGGTAAAGTCTGTTTCTGACTTTTCATTCGGGTTAGCAATAGTCTCTATACTAGCTTCGCCAAAATTTACAGGATCGAGTTTTCGAGTTTTTACGTCTCCATTTTGATATCCATTTTTAACATTTTCTCTTTTAATCTTTTCCTGAGGAGACTTAATAAGTGACGATGATTCCTCTTCAGAATCCATGTTGAACTAAAACATAATCGAGAGTGACGAGTTTTAATAAAACGAAAATACGTTTGGAAAGAAAACTACTAACATTATGTTTTCACATTATATTTTGTTAGGCTCTGCATTGCCACTTTGTAAACTTACAGGGGCTACATTCATGACACCAATCGCATGCTCACATTCGAATACTGTGCTCAAGTAAAATGTCTTGCTTCCTTGATCAGTTCATAAAAAGTCTATTTTTGTAATAAGTTTGAAAGAATGTGGGATAGGCTAAAAGCCAAATACTGTTTTCTAATATTTACACTTGACTTTTAACCGTGTTATATGGTCTAAGGAAGTAACAAGAAAATCGGCTTGAGCAGAATCCAGTTCAACGCTTGGTTAGAGTTTTCTGCGCAAATATCTGTTTTGTTTGTGAACAACAGATAAATCTGAAGATTAAATACTTGATAATGGCTAAAATATGTGTGTTATCAATCTAAGTCGTCCTTTGGTATATAATAATATATCTTATCGGGATTAACTATATGCTGTATATAGCAGATGTATAGCTTGTAATCAAAATGTTAAATCTATGTCAATACTAATGATATACACTGGAGAATACAGAGTTTGTTTCAAAGGATGCTGTCATATGGAGAATAACTTGGATCATCCATTGGTAAGGGCTAACACATACTAGTTGTAGAAACACATTTGTGATATATATCACCTTGATTGATATTAAATATAATAAATTGTACTACGTTATGTTATACAAATAAGAAACAGGTTACTTATTTAATTTTTCTAAAATCTCAGTTTATGAACAAAAAGCTCTCGCACCACACCAGACCAGACCAGGCGCGACAAACGTTGTAAAATTGAAACATGTTGTTATTTATATTAAAATATGCACCATTCATCATAGGGCTTTGGAGTAAAATGGAGTTGAATTGTAAAGGTTAGAGATAATTACATCACCCTGCAACCCATTCCGACCCGATACGTCCATGCCTGCAAGACCAATGTTTGACGCAAATTGGGCAAGTAATATTTTAATCTCATTCAATCAACTCTTTCACTACCATCACTGCACCAAAGTGTATCATAAAGAGCTGAGTGTAGGTATTAATGTATTTGGATTGATTTTCTGTTACAACAGAAATATCCCGGGTATGATTTTTTTAATATGACGTAGCGTGCGGATATAACATGCTACTATCTAGTACTGATTAAGTTAGGGAAGTGTGGTTAAATAGGCCTAACATCCGTCACATGTTTGTTTCATGTGACATCAGTCATCCGACGTCTTTCGGAAAACCTTCATATTCATCCATCAGGACTTAATATGCTTTGCTATGAATATTAATATCAACTAAGGCGCAATCAAATTATGCAAGAAGAAGAAACACTTTCAATTTACAACTATTAATAAATGAATAAATAAAAATATACTCACGTAATTTGTTCCTATCTGCTATTTTCCGTGAAACGTTTCAAATCGTATGTTCACATATATTAAACGATATTAAACAAACCACACTCACGTTAGTCCTTTTGAATATCATGATTTACTAGAAGGAATAGACACAAAATTTACTTAAATGATTCCTATAAGTAGCATTCCTGTTAAAAACTATAGAAAATCAGGTGCTTTCCAAATTGTTTTCATATGTCCATGGATTCTTCGTTTATTTATCTCTGATCACGTGGAGAGTTTGTTATGAAAACGCGTCCTTTATCTCTGCTCCTATGAATCATTTATCTCTTCTTATCCCAGGTCTCTTTATCTTCTGACCGTATGTTACCACCGGTATGTTTACGTGCATATCAGCAGGCGACGTTATGTGAACATGGATATCAAGGTTCAACGACGGTGAGGACATCATATTGTTCAGGGGCTGACTATGTATATATGTATATATATATATGCTTGGAAGCAGTATATGTATATACATATGTATGAAGAAAATGGCTGGGGGAATACAATATTTGAACCTAAAAAAAAGGTTCAAGGACCTATGTATATACATATGTATGAAGAAAATGGCTGGGGGAATACAATATTTGAACCTAAAAAAAAGGTTCAACGACCTATGATTACATTGGATTAAAATGTCCTAAAATTTCTATCAAGATCATTCTGAAACAAATTGCCGGGACGCTAAAGAAACCGCGGCTTTGCCATCAAGAAAGGGAAAATTCATGATAGGAAAATTGAAATCGTCCCGCTTACCGTAAGAGTTAGTAGTAGCCATCCATGTTCATAATTTTGTAAGTAACGAACTAGGAAAGCGGGTGAATAGAAGAATTGTCCGTGTTATCAAGCTCAGGAGAGTATTCGACGGAGTCAATAAGTTTCTGGTTATTTAAAGACAGTACGTCGTCGATATCAATAAATGCAAAATTGAAGGAGTTGTCTAGTTTTTTGTATTACCCTTGCAAGCTCATACATAATTTCGGCATCATATGAAAACAAAGATATCATGGTGTTTATAAAGATGATGAATTTAAGAGTACATTGCCAGCACTTTTATGTTAGTGGATCTCAAACGCGGAGCGACTTTTAAATAAATGACACTATCTTTGTGTCAGGACGAAAGTGCAAGTGTAAGCTTTATTCACACTATTCCGATTAAATAAAAATAAATGATCTTCAAATGTTAAAGCATCCGATATGGTATATGTTGTTTTCTACCACATTAGGTGGTTGTTATTCAACTCCCTAGGCATCAATTAATCATTAAAACTGTTGTATAACATATTGTTTATACCACACGTGGTATAAACTCTTAACGCGTTTTGGTTGGCTTTCACGGTGAACTTTGACCGGGACTCAGTTGAATGGACAATTTGGCGGGAGGGCCGCTTCATGCGGTGGCAGAAATGAGGATACACAGAAAGTAGTTCGTCATTGTTTAGGTGATAATAAATTTCTTATGTTGGTTTCTATAAATTTGTTGCTTTGAAAGCAATACATTTGTTACGTACTTGTTATGATTTGTAATAAATCATAATATTTCCACATATTCCTGAAATTGTCATTTTTGCATATGAATTAGCGGCATTTTACTTCAGGTCATATCCTTACGCCCCATCTGATATCGTAAACAAAACACATATGTATACAGAACATGTCAATTTCCTCGGAATATTTTTATGGTGGTAGAAACAGGTCAAACAAACTCGTGCTTGTTATATATGGTATTTCTTTCACTCTCGTTAGTTATTTTTCAAATGTAACAAAAAAACACTCGCTAAAGCTCGTGTTTTTTGTAACTTTTGAAAAATTTGAAAACCCCAGTGAAAGAAATACCATATACAACAACCACAAGTTGTGTAACCTCTATATATCTATAAATATATGGGTCAAAGAAGTAATATAGACGGTAAAATCCCATATAACACTGGATACTAATGGAGGTATGTCCGTAGGATACGTATTACTTCAAATATTATATGGGGCAAAGAAGTAATTCCAACAGTGTGGACAAGTTTAGGTTGTCAAATTTTCGGAGCGATCCGCTCCTTTTTCAAGACACAGTGAAACAGAGAACAGTTACATGTACATCATATTACAAGAAGATAGAACTGGTATAATATAATTAAAAATATAGCTATTATATAAATCAATAGTCCCCTCGAGCTCGGCTAAAGACAGCAGAAGGTAGCAATTAAGCTGAGAGCATCGCGGACAAGGAACTCTGATGTAGAGGACCTATTCTTGCGCAAGATGCACTATCACATAAAGTGAGTCAACGAGAGATATCAAAAACTTGGAACATGGGCATGTGGAAATCTGGCCCGGTAAATGTGAACAAACTCAATTTGCTACGGAATGTCTCATTAGTCGCCTCTGAATTCTGCGGTGGATCTAACTGTCACAGCAGAGGGTTCACACTTAGTCGCCTCTTTTGGTCTGCATGGTCTGCAGGAATAATGCATGTAATTATCAAAATAAGTGAGTCAGGAGGAATAAGTAGATGAAATGGCTAAGATACTGTATGAATCTGCAAAATTAATCTGACAACGACTGTTGGTCACACACACTGACATGAGGCAGCAGGCAGGCGAGATAGCAGTCCAGTCATTTCATCTACTTATTCCTCCTGCACTCACTTATTTGATAATAACATGCATTATTCCTGCAAATCAAAAGAGTATGTATGTATGTTCCGATAGAGGCATATTGTGGTACTAGGGGAAATAACTCGCAAGGATTGTCGGAACAGTGATGTTATGGGATCAGGTGACCATTTTGTTCCCGCCAATAAACATTCCTTTAAAAAGAAAGTCTTGTTGTGTCGCTCTCTAAGTCCATCCAGCGAGGAACCCGAAAGACTCGGGGGTAACAAAATCAGCGGGCTCGTCTGGGATCCGGCAGCACCATGGATAATGCCAGGCGCCGAAAACTGATGACAGCAGTACGCAGTCGGTTGTAGTTGCTGACAGTGAGGATCTGGTGGCAGTGTTGAGGGAAGTGATCATGAGAACCTCTCCAGGGAGGAGATATTGCTGGCCTTTGTTGAAATCCTAGAGAATGTGCAGGAGGAGACGGATTGTGGTTTGTGTAAGCTGACCAAACATTGAGTGGTTTGAAACCCAAGAACAATCTGTTCATAACGAAAGAAGATGAACAACAGATATTAACTAATTCTGAAAAATCCATGGACACGAGACTCACATGGTGGAATGAATTTAAAGTTGGCGATACACCGAATTGTATCAGGTTTTTTTAGCTCAATGAGACAAATTCAGGTGGGACAAGAAAAGTAATACTCGGACTCTGAACTACTAGATGGAGTTATCAGGGCAATCCAGCCCTCTTCGAAACTCAGAAGTTATTTAGAGGGCCGTAGTGATTTAAACCTCTCTGATCTGAGTTGTATCGTGCAATCATTTTACAAGGAGCGAACCTCAACAGAACTCTATCAAGAACTTTGTCAGTTGATGCAATGATCTAAGGAATCATTACAGGAGTTTCTCTGTCGGGCATTGGACCTGCGTCAGAAAATACTGTTTGTGTCATCCGGTAACAAACTGAGACGAAAGTATGATCCTGAATTGGTTGAAACCCAGTTCCGTCATGCATTATCAGCAAGACTTAGGGAGGATGTGTTGAAACCAGTGGTTGTGGCGCTGATATCGAAATATCAGACAGACATTGATTTGATACAAGGGTTTAATACTATCTCGAAGCAGCACAGTGAAAAAACATAGAAGTTACAAGGCTACGGTAGCAAGAAAACTGTGCAAATGAATAGTGTTGATTCTACTCTAACAAGTGAAGTTAAGGCCTTAAGGGCAGAGCTACAGGAAATGCGTGCACAGATGAACAAGCAAGAGACTAGTCAGGAGAAAGAGACTACTCGAAAGTTTTGGTGTGTAGAATGTGCCAAGACTGGGAAACGTTGTAATCACTGTTTTAAGTCAGGCCGGTCAAGCCTCGGGAAACGGACAGAGGTCTCGTCAGGGGGACAAGATGTGGCCTCGGAATCAGTTCACTCTGATTGGTTAAGACAAACATTACCCGATACAGTGTTTGGCCGCTTGAGGAGATCTATGAGGGAGGGTTAAGTGTAACGGCAGCTAACAACACTAGTATTCCCTTTGAAGGGTTGGTTGATATAGAAGTTAGTTTAGCCAGTGAACAGGAAGTTGATAATGTGTGTACCTACCATGTGCCCTTTCTTGTAGCTACTGTTTCAGGACTGGAGAGACCCATTTTAGGTTATAATGTGATCCAGCATATGACAGCAGAGCTGAAGGAGACCGATATAACCCACCTGTTACAGATGGCTCTGCCTAAATTGAAGGCGTCGGATGCAGCTTTGGTGTCTAATCTGATAAAAACACCTGAAGAGATCTACGGAACAACATTATCATCCCCAAACGGTCAACCAAGACTAATAAGGCTCGTTTACGTGGTCAGGTTTAAGCTGTCCCGAAATGTTAGTCAAAGTCAAATAGGGCAGGAATTGTTCAGTCAAGATTGTTGTGGACAATTCTACTGAATGGGATGTTGTGGTCCATCGGGGAACAGACTTGAGTTACGTACAACCGATTTGTTCACTAATCCACCTTGAACAGGCTGAAGAGAATCCTACCAATGACATTGAAAATTCGAAGTCGACCTCTTACGGAGATAATGATGAGCATGTGAGGGTCAATGTGGACATGTCTGATGAACAGTGGGGCCCAGATATTGATCTCAGTAGCTGCGAGTTGACTAGTTAACAGCAGGAGGCAGTCAAAATTCTCCTGCGCAAGGAGTGTCATGCGTTCTCCAAATCTGAAAGTGATATTGGTACAGTGCCAGATCTTCAAATGGATATTCACCTCACGGACGATAAACCATTCAGAGTTGTTACAATTCTATTCCAAAACCACTTTACCAGGAGGTTAAGGATTATATCCAGGACTTGATAAGTAAGGAATGGGTAAAGAAATCAAAATGAAGACAATACCAACCCAACAACCCATACCCAGGGTTAATGATGCACTTTATAGCTTGGTAGGTAGTAAATGGTTTTCCTTAATGGACCAAGGGAAAGTCTATCACCAAGGTTTCATCAAAGAAGAGTTCCAGCATTACACATCATTCAACACCCCATGGGGGCTATATGAGTTGACTAGGATTCCCTTTGGGTTGACCGGAGGATATGCAAGCAGTCCTACAGAGATTACAGCAGAAAGGCATAAAGCCGAAACACGCAAAATGCAGTATATTCCAGAAGAGAGGCCGGT